GAAAAAAAAAAAAAAAAAAGAAGGAAACCTCCCCCAAAAGCCCTCTCTGGATCTCTTTTGTTTTCCACTGTAAAGAAAGGAGAGGAGGGGGGGAAAAAAGGCAGCGAGCCCGGGTTTGAAACGGCCCTTTTTTCGCACCGTTTCACCTTTCAGCGACGGGAGGGGAGGTCGGGGAGGGGGGAAGGCTGCCTTGGCCCCTGCAAAGCTCCGTGTGCCGCTTCCCCGGCATCATGTGGCTCCCAGATGGCAGCGCTGGGCCGGCTCCAGCCGCGGAAAACCTGCCCGGAGCTCGGGCGTGGAGCCGGGCCGGGACACGGAGAGGGGGCCGGGATGGCTCCTGCGGTGAACGCGGGGCTGGGAGGGCTGCCAGGAGCCCCGGAGGTTTCGGGGATGCACCGGCGAGGTGCTGATGTGGGGGTTGTTTTTTGAGTCCTCAGGGCTGGGAGTCTGAACGGGAAAAGGGCACAGCGGGGCTGGGAGGCTTCCCCCGGGGGTCTGACTTTCACTTTTTCTCCTTCGTAGCCTGCGGGGAGACACTCCAGGACAGCCAGGGCAACTTCTCCTCCCCGGAATTCCCCAATGGATACTCTGCCCACATGCACTGCGTCTGGAGGATCTCGGTCACCCCCGGAGAGAAGGTACCCACCTCCTCCCAGCCCTCCTCTCCCTCCTCCCCACATCTCCCACCCTTTTTTCCCGGTGTCCCTAATCCCAGCATCCCTCTGTGGGCCGGGATGCTCCGGGCAGAGCAGGTCCGGGGGCTCCCGCCGGCTCCCAGCAGAGGGGGCGCGGGGGGGGGCTCACCCCACGCTCTTCCTGCTCCTTCCCAACCTCAGATCATCCTGAATTTCACCACCCTGGACCTGTACCGAAGCCGGCTGTGCTGGTACGACTACGTGGAGGTGAGAGACGGGTTCTGGAGAAAGGCCACGCTGCGAGGTAACAACCCGGGGCCTCCTGCCCGCTCCTCCTGCCCACCGGGAACGCTCCAGCACCGGGACCAGGGGCTCCCCTCGGCCCCTATCCCTGCCTGCCTGATGTTCCAGAGTCCTGGGGTGGGGAGAACTAACCCCCAGAGGGGTTACTGGGGTGAACGGAGCTCCCAGTTTGGCCCCCACACCAGTGAAACCAGTCTGGGTGATCCAGCTGGCTGGCACAGCTCTGCCCAGGGAGATGCCAGGATCCCAGTCCCATCCCCGTGAGCTGGATGTTCCCCAGGGAGATGCCAGGATCCCAGTCCCATCCCCGTGAGCTGGATGTTCCCCAGGGAGA